TATATACATATAATGAAATATTCAGTCATAAAAAAGAACAAAATCTTGCCATTTGTGGCAGCATGGATGGACCTAGACCGTATTATGTTGAGTGAAATAAGTCAGGTAAAGATAAATACCATATGATCTTACTTATATATATGTGGAATCTAAAAAACAAAATAAATGAACAAACAAAATAGAAACAAAAAAATAAAGGCCGACGGGATGCAGGAGTGGGTGATTTTATTGCTTCCTGGTGACTCCAGCCCCTCAGGTCCTCCTCAGGCGGCTTCAGCCCCAGCCATCACACCATCGATCCAGGCCGCGTAGCTCGCCACACGCGTGTATATGCCTGGCTTCTTGGGGTTGCCACACACGCGGGATCCAGAGGTGACTACGCCCTCGGCGACGCCCCCGCATACCAGCGGGCCTCCGGAGTCGCCCTGCATGGGACAGGGCCTTAAGGGCTGGTGCACCTCCGCAAGCCTCACCTATTCTGTGTTCACCTGGAGCTCCGCCACTGCAATTCCTGTTCCTCCCCCTGGCCTCAACCTGTCGGCTCTGGCATCAATCTGCCTAGGCCCTGCCCGTCACTGCAGGCCCCACCCACCAAGGCCCCGCCTTCCCAGCTCTCACTTCTGCCCCTTCTGTTAGCCCTGCCCCCATGCAGTCCCGCCCTCTGTTGGCCCCGCCCCACTCCGCACCTTGCAGCTGTCCCGGCGGTTGCTCTCTGCGCACATCATGCGCTCCGTGACGGTGCCGTCGTGGTACCTGCGCAAGTTGCAGGTGGCTCGGTCCAGCACCGGCAGGGTCAGGTACTGCAGGCGGTCGGGCTGGCGGCCCGTGTGACTGACCACGCCCCAGCCGGCCACGTCGCAGAGCGTGCCGGCGGCCACGTCGCGGTCCTCTCGCTGCCAGGGCAGGGGCTGCACAGCGGGGCCCAGCACTGCCTTCTCAGACAGCTGCGGGTGGAAGGAAGTGGGCGTCAGGGCTGGGGGCCTGGGAGGGTAGACATGTAGCAGGAGGGACTGCGGCTGGACTCGGTGGGACCTGGTGGGGTAGGCGGGCGCCAGGGTCGGGGGTCTGGAGGTGGGCAGCAGGAGGAACTGCGGGTAGACTTGCCGACCTGCAGCAGGAGCAGGTCATGGTCGATGGTGTCTCGCCGGCTGTCCGGGTGAGGCACTGCGCGGAGTATGTCGTACAGGCGCTTGGAGGGCTCCCGCTGCGACAGCGAGTGCGCGCCCAGCAGCACGTGCACCTTCCCGTCGGCCCTGGGAATGGGGCAGGGTCCACGTTAGAACAAGGTCCCCACCCCAACCCCTACCCCGCACCCGCACCCTCGCCCAGGCAACTCACACGTCCTCCAGGCAGTGCGCTGCGCTCAGTACCCATTGCTCAGCCACCAGGAAGCCGCCACACACGTGTTTGCCATTCACCTGCACCGAGGCCATGTAGGGCCGCTGGTGGGATGTGGCCTCTCTGCCGCCCAGGATCCGGCCGCGGGGCTGCGCCGCTGGGGATAGGCAGGTGGGCGTGAGGACTTCGGTTATGACTGCAGCCCAGCCCTCAAAACGCCCTTTTCATACCCCAGGCCGCTCCAGCCCCCTCAGACCTGGAATTCCACCACTGGATCCCCACCCTCCAGCGTCGCAAACTCAGATGCCTGGGAAGTCTGGGAAGGATAGGGAGTGCCAGGGTCTGGGGCAAATTCCATCCTACACAGTGAGCCTCCCAGATTCTATTTAAACATAAGAAAAGTGGGGCTGACAGGACCAACACTCCTGCCAGCCGCTCAGCCTGCTGGTCGCCAGCTTCCACTGTAAAACTGCGCATTTCAGATCCAAATTTTGAGACTTTCAGAGCCTTCCATTCACAAGGACACTGCCCCATCCTGGCCCACCTAGAGGGGCTGTAAGACAGTCCTGCTTGACAGAGGGGGGCCCCTGGCTGACTGCCCTGCTGGCTGGTGGCCCCCAGCTTGTTCACCCCAGTTCCAGGTTCACTCACCACATAGGGCTGCTCCTAGGAGGATCAGAGCTGCCAGGTGCACTGAGAGGTTTGCCATGATGCGGCTGTGACCTCGACACTGACTCAGGCGGGGCCCTGAGACGCTCTTATGAGGGTGGAGGGGGCGGTGGTGGCCACAGGCCCTATCTGCTGGGTGGGCAGTCGCCCAGCTAGGGAAAAGGGAGCCCGCCTGTCTGCTTCACCCTCTTCTGGGTGGGGTTCTCTCCTGCTGTACTTTACACCACCAGGGGTGCCTCCTGCCTCTGTGCACCTGGCCCAGTGCTGGCCCTGGTGTGGGCAGCAGCCCCTCGGGGTGGGCAGGAGCAGAGCAGAGGGATGGACCCACACCCAGCCTCCCGGAGCACCCTTCCAGCTCCTAGGTTTCGCAACAGCAGCTGGAGGCCACGGTTTGTAAACAACCTACTTCCTCATTTTTCTGCTCCTCCCTTCTCTCACTTCCTCCTCTAGCTTGGAGAGGAGATTGGGTGGGGGTAGGAAGATCACCCCACACCCTTGTCCCATTGCTGCAGCTCTGGAGCCTGAGACCCCAACAAGTAGGACATTGGAAAGGTGGTGTGTAGGGGCAGCTGGAAAGACTGTGTCTTCAACAATGAATTTTGTTTTGTTTTGTTTTGTTTTTTAGCTGAGCCATCCTGCCACCTGTTGGCAGCTCAGCAGCGGCTCAGCTTGGGCCGGGAATCGAACCGGCGACACTGTTGCTCAGAGCTTGCACTACTGAGCGAGCACTTAACCGAATGAGCCACTTAGCTGATCCCTAACAAGGAAATTTAAATGGAAAGTTCAGGGTCTGCCTTCAGGTGTGGCTTGATCCAGGTGCCTTGAACAATGTCAGGTTGCTGCCTTTGGTTTTTCCTTTCCTCCTCGATGGCTTCTCTCCTCACCAGGCTCCCCTGTTGTGGCCTCAGAGTCCCTAGACTCAGCCCAGTGGCTCAGTGCCCCCCTCACCCCAAATTCCCTATCACTCCAGCCAATGTCTCCAGGCTGTCTCTGATTGCCTGAGCTTAGATCACATGCCCCCTCCAAAACCAGTTACTGCAGGCAGGGGATGGCAGGCTCTAATGAGCAGAACCTGAGTCACATGGCCCTCTGTAAGGTGGGGATGGTGGGCCAACATCTCATGAACCTATGGGGAGAGGTGATGGGACCAAAAGGATGGGGTGGACCTCATATGACCCCAATGGGAACAGTGCACAATACTTTCCCCCTTTTTTTTCCTTCCTCATAGTGGATTATTTCATACATACAGAAAAGATTAGAAAATAACATGTGATCTGTTAGATCCTAACATGTTTTCTTATTAAAATCAGTTCTGAATGAAAGCCCATGAGGATATGGGGCCCAGATTATGTAAGTAAGGGTGTTTGAAATTGCAACAAAATTTGGAAACCACCCAGGAAGATGGGGCAGTTCAATAAATAACCCTGATGGTCCCCAGATGTCGTGTGGATGTGGAAAGACCTCCTGGGAATAGTAGTGAGTGGAAAAAACAATTGCATGGCAGTTGGTCACATTTCTGAGCAGCTGTTCTTGGGGAGAGGCGGGATAAGGGGACACCCTGCCGGAAGAGCAGCCAGGCAGAAGGGGACCGCCAAGGGAAAGGCCCTGAGGGTAACCCAGGCTTCTGAGCTCCAGCAGGAGGGGATTAGGGGCAAGGGGACAGAGAGGAGAGAGGGGAGATTCATCCCAAACTCATGGCGTCTGTAGGGGACAGCATTACCTGATGGTACTTATCTCATTTATTTGCTTGCTTAGGTGATTGTTTCTTACCCCACCGTGAGAATGTGAGCTGCATGATGGCAGAGGCCACATCTGTTGTGGTCCCTGCCTGTGGCCCCAGGAAGGTAGAAGAGGGATACAGGCTGGTCACCTCCCCCTGGGCTGCAACTTCCATTGGGGCTGGGGGATGCCTTGGAAATCATCTGCTCAGAGCACAATGCTGGGGAGGTGGGGGAGGGCTCATCTGTGTCACCCAATGAGACCCCAACACCCTGCTGGACCCTTACCAGACAGCACCCTCTCCTCCCCACAGGGAAACGGAGGCTCAGAGACAGCGAGCATGTTGCCCAAAGTCAGAGCTTGGATTCAAAGCCAGACTCTCGAGCAGGGCTTCACCTCTCTGCGCCTCCACTTCCTCATCTGTAAAACGGGGCACTGCCACAAGGGCTGGAAAGAGGGCTGGATGAGCGAACACTTGCAAAGACTGAGAATGATTCCTGCACCTGGTAAGCACTCAATGAACACCTGCTACAGTGCGTTGTGTCATCACCACCTGTAATGCTAATTTAATCACACAAAAGCGGGTTTACGTGAGGGAAACCAGAAATGAAAACTGGCATACAACCTTTGTGGAGGGTGGAGAAGAAACTTCTTACTCCAATGCTCTGACTTTGCTGCCACCTGGTGGCAGCATACTCGTAAGATGCCCAAGACAGTCTCATGACTATTTTCCATGCCCAATTACATAACCAAAAACAAGACACAGTCTACAAAACAGAGAAGGTTTTTATTGTCCCAGATGCTGCATAATGCAGCATGGGTCAGGCCCAGCCAGGGACAGGTGAAGTGGGGTGACAGGGCAGCCCCTTCTAGTGGGCCCTGCTCGCAGGGTCCCTAGGGTGGAGATGGGGTTGGTCACCATGGCTGCGAATGATGGAGTTGATCCAGTTGGCAAACTGCGCGACGGGAGCAAAGGCGTCTGGGTACATGCCGGAGCCACAGCCTCCCCGGATGAAGGAGTCAATCCCGTGGATTAGCCCGTTGCAGACCAAGGGCCCACCGGAGTCCCCCTGTGTGTGGAGCCAGGCCAGGTGGGGAGGCTGGGCTTCCGGGGCCCCCCATCCACCACCCTTCAGGGTTGGGAAGTCCTTCCCAGGGTCTGGCTGCAGTTCCACTTGCTACAGCCTGGGCAGGAGTGAGGGTGGAGTGGCAAGGGGATGCAGGTACTTACAAAGCAGATGCCTGCCCGCCGGCGTGGCACCATTGTGCACACATTTGTGCGGCGGCAGAGGGATGTCACCACAGTCACATTGAGCTCCTGCAGGACTTTGGGCGGTGGCTGGTTGGTGCCCAGCCGGCCCCAGCCCATGGCCAGGCACCGTGCCCCATTGCCCACGCCTTGGTTTTGCTCAGGCAGCCGGGCCACCTGCACATTGGCATTGATAGTGGCTGACCCGTTGAGCTGCAGTGGGCAGGACAGAGGAAAGGAGAGTCACACAGGGTGGTGGGCATCAACCCTCCCCATTCTGGGCCTCAATTCCCCCACATCCTGGTTCTGGAATTTTATGAAGTAGGACGCTCAGCCAGTGGGATGCTTCCCACCCTGGGCCTCAGTTTCTCCATCTGTGAAATAGGAACAATCACAGTGGCTCAGGGAATCCCTGGATGTGTCTTGAGAGCAGTAAACAGTAGGTACTCAATATAACAAACTGTAAGCAACACCAATGACAACAAAACCCTTATTCTAAAACATTCCAGAGAGGGCTGGCTGAGTGGTGTGTTGGTTAAGAGTTGGCTTGGGACACCAGCTCTGAGCAGCAGGGCCCCGGTTCAGATCCCACTTGAGGGCCAGTGACGCTGCGCCCTCTACAGCTAAGATGGTGAACAACAGCTCAACCTGGAGCTGGACTGCCATGAGTCACCGGCGATGGCGTAGGCTGCAGTGGGGCTGGCCGGCAGCGGGCATGAGCTTTTGTGAGCTGCCGTGAGCAGCCGTCCAATGGCCGGCGAGCGACTGCCTAACCCAGGAAGAGCTCAATGATAATACCCACATGCGCCAGTGAAGCCACGTCCTCCACAACTAGACTGAAGAACAAAAGGACAGCAACTTGTCTGTTCCCTTTCCCTGATTCCCCAACACTGTTCCCTTCCCTCAATTTCCCAATAAAATTAAAAAAAAAATTCCAGAGAATTATAACTCTGCCAGCAGTGGGGAAGGGAGGGTTTCTCACTCCGGTCTCCCTTTGACCCAGATGTGGGGAATTTTGCCATTTCACAAAGGCAGGGACAGTCCCCGGGTACAGGGGAATAGGACACAAATAATCAACATTTTGTTGATTGACAACTGTCTAGATCTCTCTGTGTCTTCTCGTTCACTCTCTCAACAGCACTGCCAGGTAGGGCCTATTTCCCCAGGTTACACAAGTGGAGACTGAGGCACAGAGATGACCTACCCAGGTGGAGCTGCATGTGACCCCTAATCTCTCACCCCTTCTCTGCCTTTCCAAGCCTTTGGCCCTGCCAGTTCCCCACCTGGGCATCGCATCCCACCCCACTAGCCTTGCACCTTCAGAATCACGATGTCGTTCATCAGCCTCCCGGCATCGAAGCCGTTTTCAAAGACTTGCTGGATGGCAAACGACTGCCGGGTGCGCTCGCGCTGCCCCAGGTTGTGTGCCCCCAGCACCGCCTGTACCCTCTGGAAGTTACTGCAGGCAAAAAGGATGCAGGAGGTGATTCGAGGTGGCCCCAGGGGTTGGGGGTAGCAGAGAGATCCCAGAGCTCAGTTAAGCCCAGCTCCATGTCCAGGGGGAGCCTCACCATCCTGGGCAGATGCTTGGCCTCATTGGCTGAATGCCCCTACTTGGGCCTGGTGGGGAAGGTGCGTCCATGGGGGCCCCCTGGAAGAGCCTAGGCCCTGGTCTCACTCCTGTCCCTTTGACAGATGTGGAAACAGAGGGTCTGAGGAGGGAAGATGTGCTGGGGTGGGGGTTGGGGTGGTCACTCACATGCCATTCACACAGTGTGCGGCCGACATGACAAAGTTCCGGGCCACCAGGGTGCCACCACAGAAGTGGCCTCCTTGCCGCTGCAGAGACACCATGAAAGGCCATGCATGGGGCCGGGCCTGCCGGCCACCCACAATCTCAGAGGCCAGCGTGGGACCTGGGGACACGTGGAGGTGGGGGTGGTGAGTGCCATGGAGGAGTCCCACCCTCTGGGCCAGTCAGCCCTTGAACTCCCACCAGGAACCCACGGATTATGGCTCTTCACGTGCCAGATGAGAAAACAGAGGTGCAGAGAAGAGAGGGGGAACTGCCATTGTCCCCTGCAAGGGCACAGCTAAATCTGGAGTTAATTTGGCTTTGGAGTCTGCGGAGCATGCCCAGTGATGCTCCGGTACAAACTCTGGGCTCTGGGCTCTTCACCACTCTGGACACCTCAGTATCTTCCTCTAGAAGCAGGTCTCCCCATCCCAGCCATCACCTCCCCATGAGGGTGAAGGGACTATGCGGGCTGAGGACACAATGGAGAGATGAACAGACATGTGGCCCCACTCACCGCCCAGCAGCATGGTCAGCAGGATGGAGGTGAGGATAGGACCGGAGGGTCTGCAGCTTTGGGTCATGGTCGGGCGGGGGCTCTGATGTCTGTGCCCCCATGCCCACCTGGCCCTCTTATGGTTCTATGCCTGGGACCGTTGCATTGCTCCACTTCCTTTCCCCACCCCTAGGACCAGGGCGATGATGGGAAGGACAGTGTGTGTGTGAGTTGGGGTGGGAGGGCAGGCAGTGCGAGGGGCCTGGATTGGCTCCAGATAAAATTCAGGACACACAATTAAATTTGAAAGTCAGATAAACAATTTTTTTAGTATGAACATGTCCTAAATATTGTACTTATTTAGGAACTTAGTCATTGTTCAGCTAGCATTCAAGTTTAACTGGGTGTCTTATATTTTTGCTAAATCTGGCAACCTTAGGTCCAAAGGACGTTGGTTGGTTTCCCCACTTGCTTCAGTTTACCCAGGGCACAGGGGAGACGGGGGGACTGCTGGGTCCCATTTGAGAGGAGGAAACTGAGGCACAACGAAGTGTTCCCCCATGAGTTCCTACACAGTGACATGGTGGGCAAGCTGGGCTTGAACCCAGACCCACAATTTCCAGCTAGAGGGCGATTTGCTCCACCTTCCTCTCAGGGCTTGGCCTTCCAACCTCCCTTTGATTGTTGCCCACAACAGGACTCCCTCCCACCAGGGGCCACATCAACCTCTGTGTGTTAGCAAATGTTCTGGGAAAGAACCCCCTCTCTCTGAGCTTTGCTGAACTCCCTTCCCTCCTGAAGTTTGAGAGCTTCTGTCTGGGGCTGTGGAAGAACTCAAGCCAAACAACAGGGCCCAGCCCCCACCCCATGGCCCTGTTCCTCTTCCCGCCTCCTCCAGGATGCTCTAGCTGCAACGGCCATAGCCCAGGCTGTCGCAAGAAGCAACGTTCTCCTGGCCCAGAGCAGGGTTTAGGGGAGGGAACCAACGGATCCATCTGCAGGAACAGGTAGGCGGGAGCATCAGGGGCGCCCAGAGCCAGAGCCTGAGTCCCCACACACCAGGACCTCCCTCCATGTGTGGCCATGTGTAAGCAAACTCCCATCTCTCTCCAGTAAGGATGATGGCCCTTCTCTCCTAAACCCTGGCACACAGCAGGCACTCCATGTCCTCCCTTCATCCCTTCCTTATCAACCAGTCCTGCCCCCCCCCGCCCCCCTGCTTGGCAGCGTTCCTACTCAATTGTGTTCAATTTACCATAGAGCACTGAGCAAGCTGTTTTCAGTCCTGGGATAGGGTTGAGTGAAGGAAGTCTTTGGGGGAAGAATGTCTCAGGCCAAAAAAATCCCATTTAACCAAAGCTGCATTTATTGATCACTACCTATATACCATGTTCACACATCTCATGGTGGTCAAGCATATCAACTCTGAGTTTATATCCTGGTGTGGCCACTTGCCCACTACATAACTTCAGCCCACTGACTTAACCCCTCTGTGCCTCAGTATCTTTTCCTGTAAAAGGGAAGTTATAATAATAGGCTCCATCACATAGGATGTCCCAAGGATTAAACGAATGAGCATTTGTAAAGTTCTAACATAAGAAAGCGATGTCCTGGGCCAGCTGAGTGGCTCAGTTGGTTAAGAGCTTGCTCAAGAGTTTGAGCTCTGAGCAACAGCGGTTCGATGCCCGGCCTGAGCTGAGCAGCCGCCAAGCTGCCAACAGGTAGCAGGATGGCTCAGCTAAAAAACAAAAAACAAAAAACAAAAAACAAACAAAAAGAAAGCGATGTCCTGGGGTGATCGGTTAGCTCAGTTGGTTGGAGCATGGTGCTGATAACACCAGGAATGCCAGTTCAATCCCCGCATGGGCCATTGTGAGTTGCAACTTCCTTAAAAAGAGTCAACTATGCCATTGTAGCATGAAAGCAATGTGTAACCAATGACCATGGCTGTTCCCCAATAAAATTACCAAAAAAAAAAAAAGTGATGTCCTGGAGGGTTTGCTACCATTAACCACCTCCAGGAGGGCCAGGTGGTGATTGCCTGGTGGGTATAGGCTAGTATGCGAGTACTGGGCTTCCATTATAATTTGCAATCAGAGTAGTGGTAACGCTGACGATACCCATGTAACGAGTCATCAAACTTAGAAGTAAGATGTGTGCATTTTTAGGTCTAAGTTACAGCCCAGTGAGAAAACAAAAATTTGAGTGTTTTTCCCCACTGTTGGAGGCCTGGGGATCCCTGAGCTGTAGTGAGCAACCCAGCCCAGCTGTGACCCCCAGCAGCACAGACCACCCCCACCCCCGCCCCTCAAGGAAACCCTTGCACCCTGAGGCTTCCCAAGTGTGTGCTGATCATGCTGCTGGGTTTCTCTCAATAGCCCAGCTAACCTCTGGCAAATCAACCCAGCACCCTCTAACCCCCAATTCCCACTATTGGGTCTGGTCTTTGTTGTGTAGGACTTCCCTGGGTCATCTTTCACACACATGAGCCCCCAGAAAACCCCCCTGTCTATGTTTTTGTGGGTCTTTCTGTTTCCAACATTCCCTTTAGCAATTCCCTCTAGCCCAATGCTGTGGGCTTTTTACAGAAACCACTTCCCCGTCTTGGGCCCCTGGGAGACACAGGAAATTTCCGGCAGCCCCGACACTCATCAGCTTATATTTCCCAGGATTCAGCCATGTCCCCTGTCTCCCCACACATTTGCTCCTGGTGCTGCTGATGTAAACCAGTCATGGCACCTCCCCTGGGGTGGTCACTGAGGTGTAAAAAAGTTGCAGAACTGGGAAGGCCCAGGAGTTCTCATTCTTGCTTGTATTTTGGGGTTTTTTTGTTTTGTTTGTTTGTTTTGGTTTTTTTTAGCTGAGCCATCCTGCTACCTGTTGGCAGCTCAGCGGCTGCTCAGCTCGGGCCGGGACTCGAACCGCTGTTGCTCAGAGCTCAAACTCTTGAGCGAGCTCTTAACCAACTGAGCCGCTCGCCAGGCCCTCTTGCTTGTATTTTGTATGCTGCCACCAGGTGGTGGCAGAGTAAATCAATTCCAATGTGTCCTATGAGCAGTTTGGCTCTCTCTGAGCCTCTATGGCCTCATTCCCATTGCCATTTGCCTGCTGGCCAATGATCTCTACCTCTTCCCTGCCTCAGGTCTCTCCCCTAGGCCCACCCCAGTTCATGTCTGTGGTCTGGCATCTTCCAACCCCACCACCTCCCTGAACTCTCCTCCCCCAACCCCTTGCCTTGCTCCATTCCTCTTGCAGTGCAGCTTTGCTGTCCCTCTGCCCTCGCTGTGCCCCTGGGGGCCCTTCTCCTCCTGTTCCTGTTCATGCAGTGGCAGTCACTTCAGGCATTGGCGCTTCCTGGAGGAGGTGTCAATGCCTGAAGTGACTGCCACTGCATGAACAGGAACAGGAGGAGAAGGGCCTCCTTAATGGCTGCTCTGCCTGCCTCTGACTGGGGAGGAGTCCCACAAGCCCCGGGCATTCCCTGTTACCACAGCCTTGTCTTCCAGCAGCCTCGCCCCACCCTGAGCTGGAGACACAGAGCTGGACAAGACACCCCAGCCCCGAGGGCCAGGGTGGAGCTCCTTGGACGGTTCTGGGAAATATCTGGAGTGACTCCCTTTTCCAGACAATGAAACTGGGGCACAGAGATGGGCAGCAGTTTGCACAGGGCCACAGCAGCGGGCCTGGATTAGAACCCATGTCTGTGGGCATGGGGGGGCAGGTGGGACACACTGTGACCTGAACCCTCTACTGGTCTCCAGGCCTTGGCTCCAAACACCCATCCTGGGTGTCTGGGGTCTGCAGACTGGGATGCTGGGGACACTCTCTCCCATGTTCGCCCATGTGGGAAGGATAGACAGGAGCCAGAGGGAGGTTTCAAGTTTTATTGATGTCCCCGTGGGTCTGGACACTGGCACCCTCCCTGTTCCGTTAAGGTTTGCTGCCTGGCCTCAGCCCCGGGAGGTCTGGAAGGGGAGGCTCAGGGGCTGTCCTCGGACCCCGCACTTCTCAGCACGGATTGAATCCAGTCCACATAGAGGGACACGCGAGCAAAGAAGTCAGGGTACTGGCGGGTGGCACACTCCCGGATCAAGAAGGAGTCCACAGCCTGGAGGACGCCGTCACAGATCAATGGGCCGCCCGAGTCCCCCTGAGAAAGGTGGGGACAGGTGACTCAGTCACCTGGGACTTGGCTACATCAAAGAAAGAATGGCAGCAACCTAACGCCATTTAGGGGTAAAATGTTTCCAGTCAAAATTTTTCTTTAAGATACTTGGACAACAGAGGGAGATAAGGCCACTCTGGAGGAGAGTGGGTGTTTATTAGCCTCCTGTTGTATACCTGGACCCCTGGAATGAGGCTAGGCTGGTCACCCACACCTTCCCAGGGTCTGAGAGGGTCCCAGGGTGGGAAAGTTCCCAAACCTACGAGGGCCACCGGGTACAACATGAGTCTGTGTCTGTGGGAGCTGAGGCTGTTCCATGGATCACCCTCTGAATCCTTACTATGGGTGTACCCCCCTTCTTGATGATGAGACTGAGGCCCAGCCTGCAGCTGCTCAGTGAAGAGGAAGTGGATTTGAACTGCAACCCACCACGCACCCGCCCTCCGCTGGGCGGCCCCTAGAGACCCCTCTGCTCCAGGGCAGTTCCAGCCTCTAGGAAGGTCCCTCCAGCCATCCGACCACAGAGTGGGGCACTGGGAGCTGGGTGATACATACGAAGCAGATGCCAGCTTTGCGATGGGGAACAAAGGTGCACACATTATGTGGGCGGCACAGGAAGGTGACCACGGTGACATTGAGCTCCTGCAGGACGTGGGGCAACGGCGCACGGGTGCCCAACCTGCCCCAGCCCATGGCCAGGCACTGAGTGCCGTGGGGCAGCTGCTGGTCCTGCTGGGGGAGCTGGGCCACTGCAACCTGGGCATTGAGGTTGGCCGGGCGGTCCAGCTGGGTCAAGGAGAGAGTGGGTGGGCAGTGAGACCCTGTCTCCAGAACCCACAGCCACCCCCTTCTGGCATCCACCCAAGTCCTGATCACCCCAAAGTGCCTTTTCTGGGTCTTTGCACATGCTGTTCCCTCCACCCGGCCCCCTATCACTCACTCTCAGGTTCCACCTTGGAGGTAACCCCCTTTAAGGAGCCTGCCCTGATTGACCCTCCAAACCTTGCCAGGGCTGTTTTGCATTCTCTGACAACATGGGCCTCCCCTTTGTAGGATTTGTCACTATGGCATGCATTCACTTACAAAGCACTTATTCAGTGCCAACTGTATGCTCCCTCCTCTGCTAAGCCCTACGGATCCTACCTCCAGGAAGATGACAAACATATAGTTAAGGGAAATGATGACATGGTAAACTGTAAATCAGGGCTGTTATTCCTATTAAGGTGAGGAGAGCCCTTGCTGAGAAAGTGAGGTTGGTGCCCAGGCTGGGCGGAGGTGTGGGAGTGGGGCAGGGCTGGGCATTGGGAGGCAGGAGGTCCTGCATGTTGTTTGAGTGGAGGCCGTTTGAGAAGCTATTGTCTGAATGGCTCTCTCTCCGCCAGGCGTGCTGTATACCAGGCCATGTCCCAGCTCCCTCACAGGCCTGGCATAGACTAGGTGCTCCATACATGTGTGCTAAGGATGAATGACCAGCCAGCCCACCTACCTGCAGGAGGAGAATGTCGTTGAGCTTCTGCTCAGGGTCATAGTTGTTGCTGAACTGTTGAGCGATGGAGAATCTCTGCTGGCTGGGCTCAGTGTTCTGCAGGTTGTGGGCCCCGAGCACCACCTCCACCAGGGCGGGGGGCCTGCGGAGTCCCAGCATTCATCGCTTGGCCCCCGCTCCCCCACCCCCATGAACATCCTGAGGCCCAGGGTGCAACCCCCTTTGTAACAGACCTAGGCAGGGCTGCCTCCCCCCTCAGACCCAGGCAGGGCCGCCTCCCCACACAGACCCAGGCCAGGCTGCCTGCTCACTCACATGTTTTGCAGGCAGTGGGCAGCGGTCAGCACAAACCTCGGGTGGATCAAGGTGCCCCCGCAGAAGTGGTTTCCTGCCACCTGCAGTGATGCTATGTAGGGCCGCGAGTGGGGCTCAGCTTCCTGCCCGCCCACTATCTCTGCGGCCTGTGCTGCACCTGAGGACATGGGCATCAGCAGCCACCACCTTTCCCTGCTGGACCCATCCCCACCCACCTACCTGGGAGAGAAGCACTGGGCTCTGCCCATTTTTCAGATGGAGAAACTGAGTCAAATGTCCCAGAGTTCCCCCATGCTCCCCCTCCCTCCCCTTGAGGCATTCATCCCAAGCAGCGAGTGGGTCCTGTCCTGATCCTGCCTCAGTCTCCCCATCTGTGCCATGAGGGCATTTGGGTGGCCGTCATGGGTGGAATCAGCAGAGCCTGGATGGTTGGACAGATGGACATGTGGCCCCACTCACGGGCTAGCAGCATGGCCAGCAGGACCAGGGCCAGAGCAGGGCCGGAGGGTCCGTAGCTTCGGGTCATGGTCAGGTGGGGGCTCCAGGGTCTCCCTGCCTGCCCGCCCCTCTTATAGCCCAATGTTCAGAGGCCGTTGAGGTTGCCCCACACCTGGGCTGGATATCCCCACTTCCTCCTTCCAATTCTGGGGCCACAGGGAGCTGGGGGTTGAACCACACTCCAGGAGGACATGGAGTGTTGGGCTCAGGGTCCCGACTCCCCCCACAGGAAGCTCCTCCTGCTCACCCCATTTTGGGATCCCCTGGACAAGGGGCATAATAACACAGCCCTCAGTGGGACACACATCCCACCCTCCGTACCTCCTCCCATGGGATCCCTGTGGCCCCAGCAAAGCGGGATATGACTGGTGTGTCCAGGCACTAGAGTGAGCCCCACTCAAGGGGGCCGGAAAAGGGACGGGAAAAGCAGTGGGAGCCGCATGCCCTCCTGAGACCCATAAGAATTCCCTGTTCCCTCTAAGGCAGAGTTCTCACCCAGGTGACTGTGTTGTCAAGGGGACACTGGGCCTTGTTTAGGGACATCTATGGTCATCAGGACTGGAGGTGCCCCTGGCATTGAGTGGGTAGGGTCAGGGATGCTGCTCAACCCCCACAGTGCCCAAGACGGCCCCCCAGACAATCACCCAGTCCCACTGTTCATGAGGCTGAGGGGGAGAGACCTTAGTTAATTATTTGGGGAAAACTTGAGTTCACTCGCTGCTCACAGAAAACACCAGAATAAACCCTAATAGTCACACAGGATAAACCAGAGTGGCCTCAGGGTCTGAGTCACCTCTTCCCTCCTCCCACTCAGGCTGTGTACTAAATGTGTGCAGCCTCCTAGGACCTCAGAGTCAGGTGGGTATGGAGTGAAGTCTCTTGGGGTCAGTGGAAGCCCCAGCCCAGGGGTTAAAGGAGGGAGGCACTGACAATCACTACACGTGGATGGACCTTAAACACATGGTGCTCAGTGAGAGAAGCCAGACACACAAGGCCACACAGTGTGTGATTCCATTTATGTGAAATGTCCAGAACAGGCACATCCACAGACAGGAAGTGGGTTCGTGGTTGCGGGGGATGGTAGCAGGGATGGGGCTTCGTTTTTGGGGTGAGGGAATGTTCTGGAACTAGAAAGAGATGGTGATTACATAACACTATGAATGCACCAAGTGCCACTGAATTGTTAAATGGCCAAGTCATATGGCATATAAAGTATATTTCAATAAAGCTTTAACCAAAAAAAGAAAAAGAAATACACACACACAGGGCCGGCCGAGTGGCGCGTTGGTTAAGAGCTGGCTTGGGACGCCAGAGGGCCCGGTTTGGATCCCACATATGAGGGCCAGTGACACTGCCCTCGACAGCTAAGATGCTGAACAACAGCTCGACCTGGAGCTGGGCTGCCGTGAGTCACCTGCGATGGCATAGGCTGCAGCCCCTGCTGCAGTGGGTTGCCATGGGCTACCGTGTGTAGCCAGCAGCCAGCATGAGCAGCCAGCAGCCAGCATGAGCGGCCAGCAGCCCTGTGAGCGGCTGTCCAGAAGCCGATGACTGATCTGCCTCGCCCGGGAAGAGCACAATGATGGTGCCAACTTGGGCCAGTGAAGCAACGTCCTCCCAAAACTAGCCGGAAGAACAAAAGGACAGCAACTTGTCTGTTCCCCTTCCCCCAATTCCCCAATAAAAATCTTCAAAAAAAACTAAAACACACACACACACACACACACACACACACACACACACACACACACACACACCCTGCTAGATGGTGCACCCACTAAGGGGTAGCCTCCTGGCAAAGTCTTGGGGTCAGTCACCGGCAGGGGGATGGTCCAGGGTCCCCCTGACCAGGTGCTATGCTCCAGGTGTGCATCACACCAAGGCCTGGGGGCAGGCAGGTGAGTACAGGGTGGAGGCTGCCTGGAGACAGAGGGAATGGGGGACCGAAAGGCTCCTGGCTGGGGCAGGAGTAGGGTGTGGGGAGGGGGAGGCGTGGTTGTAACGGGCAGGGAAGCCTTTGGGGCCTCTGGGGGTAGGGCTGGCGGGTGGAGGGGAAGTGGGGTCTGGAAGCTGTGGCCTAGGCCCCTTCCCACTCCAAGTGTTGGTGGTGCAACTGACAACAGTGGCCATGGGGGCGGGAGCGTGGGTCCATGGGGTCACCAGAACCCAGACGAGGAGGGGAAGAGAGGGAGTAGGGCCCAGCCTGTAGTGTCTGTGTCTGTCTCTCTTTTTCGTCTTTTCTCCTTAAAAAATAAAAATACTTGTTTCTTTTCTTTTTTTTTTATTAGTTTCAGGTGTACAAAACAATGTACTAGACATTTACACTGCTCACAAAGTGATAACCCCCCTCCCCTAATCTAATATCCCTCTGACATTGTATATAGCTGTTACAATTCCATTGATTCTATTCCCTATGCTGTACTCCATTTCCTGTAAAATACTCTTTTTTTTAGTGCGTCAGTGTGGGGAACTCCAAGCTGGACGACCATACGCCCTTGAACCTCAGCCCCCTCAGGCCTCAGTTTCCCCATCTGAACAGTGAGCAGGCAGTGAGTTGACCTGTCTAAACTCCAACCAGGGCCCCTCGACCTATTTGGGTTCTTGCACTGCCACTGACATTCCTCTCCGGGTCTCAGTCTCCCCATCTGTGAAGTGGGTTAATGGCAACGCAACTAACCTTGGCGGTGGGTCAGTCTGGGCAAACACTGAGGGGTCCTGGGGTCAGTGGGCAGCATTGGGGGCACTGGGGCTCGAGGCACAGGGCTGCAGGGCCCCACGGACCCCGGCACCATGCAGCTCGGGGCAGAGCTTTGGCCCACTTTGTACAGGTCGCAGGTTCAAGGCGTTTGTGAGTCACAGTGCACATGCAATCTACAAGCCTTGCACACCACGCGATTCATGGCCCATTCCATCAACCAGGGTTTGCCTCTTGTGACTCAGATCAGCAATGTACAAAGAGGTGTAGTGTTCTTCTTTAACTTACTAGCTTTTAAGTTTGATTTCTGCCCTCACATGATCCAAGTATCTAAAAGACATGTAAAAAAGACTGGAAAGCCATGTTGCAGCCCCAACCCTTCTGCCCCCAAGTACACTGACGGGGTCTCCTGGGCTTCTGGGTGCTCTGATCTGCAAATGAGAATGTAACACACACACACACACACACACACACACACACACAGTTTTGTCTCCACTGTCCTGAGAAGACCCCTCGGTGAACAAGATGCCTCCACCTTTTACACAGCTGTGTAATGAACCAGACTTTGAGCATTTTATGGTCTCCTCTTGGGGACACTGAATTGTTTCAGTCTCTTTTCCTTCTAGCCATGTGGCAGGAAATATCCTTGTACCCTTGTCCTCCGCACAGTGCAAGGTGACAGAAGGGACAAACCCTGGGGTGGCGCTGCTGGCTCAGATGCCCCACATCTACCCCTACCAGGCGGGCACCCCCAGAGACCTTCCTCTCCCCCAGGTAGATGCCCATAGTTCTCAAACCGCAGGACTTTTGCACATCCCACAGGTTGGAAAAAAAATGTGTCTTCAAGGAGGTCTGCTTGTATTTTTCATATAATCAGTGAAGATAAAGTTGTTTCTGTGTCATCAAGATTCTTTAAAAAAAATTTTTTTTTTATTGGGGAACAGCCATGGTCATTGGTTACACATTACTTTCATGCTACAATGACATAGTTGACTCTTTTAAGGAGGGCGCAGCTCACAGTGACCCATGCAGGGATCGAACTGGCAACCTTTGTGTTATCAGCACCACGTTCTAACCAACTGAGCTAACCAGTCACCTCAAGATTTATTTTTTTCTTTGCTGTAAACCATCTGTTTACGTCCTTTACCCATTTTTATACTACTGGGCTACTGTTTTATTCTTACTGATTACAGGTGCTCTTTATATATTAGATTTATTATAATTATATTTTATTATGCATTATTAACTATATACATTTAAAATATATAAATATGTAATATAGTGATGTATAATAAATAATGACATATATTATTAAAATTTTTATTTTAACAAAAAATTCAGTTTAATAAACTTATGTAATATATAATTCTATTTACACATTATTTCCATGTAATTACATTTACTATTTAATAACATTATTTATATTTTAGCTTTTCCTATACTAGGCACATTAGCTTTCTGTGATTCAAGTAGCAGGCAGACTTCGGCCAGTGTCCTATGTGTGCCTTTTGAATTTGCTGCACAATATACTCTAGACCTAAATGAGAGGTTGTTAATGGGGCCCCGGACCTCACAGCTTTGGGTTCAGAGCCTACACTGGTTGTGTGATGTCAGGTGAGTCGCACACCTTTCCTGAGCTTCAATACTCCTTCCACCCCGTGGCTCTCAGTGAGGGGAGGCCACATGGCCTATAGATGCTCCTAAACTCCTGTCCCCAGTACCTGCCCTGGCAAAGCAGAGACCAGGTGCAGAGGAAAGAATAGGATGGCTTCTTTATTACAGTCACAACCACACAAGTCGGGGGTGGGGTGGGGGTCGGAGATGGGGGTCACAGGCCCCCATGGGCTTGGTGGGTGAGGGGTTCAGAATAAAACCAATCCAATTTTGGAAGAGTGCCATGCAGGTGAAGAAGTTGGAGCCCCCGAAGGGCGCTCCATGGAGAAGGAGACCATGCCATGTGCCAGGCCGTTACAGACGAGGGGGGTGCCCCCATCACCCTAGATGGGCAACAGAGGAGTCAGGTCAACCTCAGGCCCAGCTCCCCACTCTACTCTCTCCCAGAACTGCCAAGTTGGCAGCTGTGCCCACAACTTCAGCCTTTCTTCTGCAACCCCCAAATCTTGTCCCCACCCCACATGTTCTCCTGCTGTTGAATCTTAAAACAAGCAGTTCTAATTCCATACTTAATCCCAGGGACTTGCTTTCTCTCAACACGGAGAGCTCCTGATTTCTCAAGACCCCTCCTCCCACCATGGGGAGCCCTTGCTAAGTTGCACCCAGCCATACCTGTCAGATGGCACCCCGGCAGGTGAGGATGCCAGTGCACACATTGTTGGGGCAACACTGGTCCGAGGGGGTCACAGTGACATTGAGCACCTTTGGGAAGTAGGACAGGGGTTCCCTATGCTGTTGGGTCCCACAGCCTGCCACCTTGCAGTTGGTGCTGGCTTCCACCATGTCATTCTGCTGGGGCTGCAGTACCAATGTCACGCTGCTGGTGAGGTTGGCCTCACCATCCAGCTGGGGAGTGAAACTGAGTCAGGAAAAGGCAGAACTCAGGACGAGAGCCTCAGGGGGCCCAGCGGGGAGCCAGAATGGCAGCAACATGAATTTTGGTCTGTAAGTGGTTTGGGTTCAAGTCCCAACCTGGACAGAACAATCAATAACCAATAAAAGAATAATCAATAATTCCTACCATGAATGTGGTTGAGAGGATAAAACAAGATTCTGAAGGTAAGGGGCTTGCCCAGGAAATGCAGAACAAGCCAACATTCCCCATTAAGCTGGCAAAAAAACAAACAAACATAATCCCCAGTATTGATAAAGCTATGGAAAAAGAGGCAGTTTTTTTTTTTTAAGATTTTTTTTACTGGGGAATTGGGGGAAGGGGAACAGCCAAGTTGCTGTCCTTTTGTTCTTCAGTCTAGTTGTGGAGGATGTTGCTTCACTGGCCCAAGATGGCACCATCATTGCGCTCTTCCCGGGCGAGGCAGATCAGTCGCCAGCTTCTGGACCGCCACTCACACTGGCTGCTGGCTACACACAGTAGCCCATGGCAACCCATCTGCCATCGCAGGTGACTCATGGCAGCCCAGCTCCAGGTCGAGCTGTTGTTCAGCATCTTAGCTGTAGAGGGCAGTGTCACTGGCCCTCATATGTGGGATCCGAACCAGGATCCTCTGGCGTCCCAAGCCAACTCTTAACCAACGCGCCACTCGGCCAGCCCAAAAGAGGCAGTTTATAATTCTGCTGGTGGGGAGGGTAAACTGGCCCAGCTGTTCCATCTGCGCTGGAGAGATGTTTGCAAGAAAATACATATGATATTTAATGGGATTCTGTCATAACAAAAACATCTGGAAATGCCTTAAATGCCCAGCAACAGGAGGCTGGATAAACGGATTGGGAGATGGCTGTACACTTTGCTGCATGATTTAGACCACCAAAGGAAACAAAAAGAGGCCCCATCCATGGGTTCCTCTCTCCCTTGGCCCCTCAGGCTGTCGTTGCCCCGTTGTCACCCCTGGTCCCACCTGCAGGAGAAGCAGGTCATTCAGATACTCCTGGGGGTCGTAGCCATTCTCGCTGATGCTCCTGATGGAGAACCTCTGCCTGGAATTCTCCCGCCGCCTCAGGTCATAGGCCCCCAGCACCATGGAGCAGTTCCGGGGTTCCTAGGAGTGGTGGGGAGAGCAGTGGAAGACACCAGGCTGGGGCGGCCCTGGGGGGCACATGGAAATGCCCCAACCTTACACACTCACCCTGGGATCCCCAGCACTGCCTGGGTGTAAGCTTACATATACCATAGGGAATTACCAGCCCACTGGCCGACAACCCAGGATCCAAAGGAAGGTCAACTATGATGGTCACATTTCCCCCATTTCCAGATAAGGAGATCAAAATTCCCCTCTCTTGGGTCCCCCATTTCCCTCTCTAAGCCCCTCACTACTCCCTGAGTCCTCTACTTCTCCCCCATCTACCAGGCAACCCCTATGAATCCCCTGAGTTCTTTCCTTCTCTGAGACCCCTTTCCCCACAAGCTCCTCCACCCTGCAGCACCCTCTGCACACTGGAGGCCTCTCCTCACCCCCAGGGAACACCTCCGCCCCTGCGGTCCCCTCTTCACTGGCTCTGGAAGAAGTTGGCCACTGTTGACACAAAGCGCTGATGAACCAGGGGGCCCCCGCAGAAATGATGCCCCTCATGCTGAATGGAGGCCAAGATCGTGGAGCTCCTGCAGCTTAGCCTTCCTGTCACCCACGATGTCCACGAGGGGCACTGAACCTGGAGGCAGCAGCATGTGCAGCTGCCTGGTCTCAGCCCCACCACTGGAGAGACACCCACTTGGCTTCTCCCCTTCTTCCGTAAGAGGACAGGTGGCTCCAGGCCGCCAGCACACCCCTTCCAGGATTGTTCAGGGCCAGTCTGGCTGTGTGGCCTAGGTCAAGTCTTTTCCCTCTCTGAGCACTGAGTCCAAGGGGGCAAGGACTGGACCACTGGCCCCTCCCACCTGGGCCTCTACCCCTGCAGCAGGACCCCTAGCAGAAATGGGGATGCCTAGCATGGGCAGGCACTCACTGGCCTTAGACGTTGCCAGAAGGCCAGCCAGCAGGGCCAGGAGGCTGAGCGTTGGCATAATGGGGCTGTTAGGGGTGTCTGGGAATGGTGCCACCTTATACCCCAGGCCTCAGATATTGGCAGCAACCCTCCACCTGGGCACAGGGCCAGCCCGTCATGGTGGAAAACAGGAAGTTGCCCAAGGCCTCCACTGCCAACTGCTCCCAGAACCTGCCTGGACTCTGCCAACTGCCCACTCTGTGCCTCAGTTTCCCCACCTGTGTAATGGGGACATGAACAGCATCCCCGCTTCCCATAGATCTGTGGGGAGCATCAAGTGGGTTAATATGAGTAAAAGTTTTTGAGCAGCACCTGGCATGCTCAACCCCTTTTGCCTGTTCTAACCTCTCCTATGACTCCCTAGTGCCTCAGGCTCAAGTCAAGGCCCCTAAATGGACAGTGTGCTACCGCAGTTGGGTCTTGCCCCATCTCCATCACCAGGGATTAGATGGGAAAAGGACCCTCCCTTATCCTGATATTCCCCCAAACCCTCTCCTGAACCCTCCAGCTGTCAGGAGCATTCCCCAGGACACCTCTTCCTGCTCCTGCCACCCCCAGGAGGCACCCAAGAGCGATTGCCCCACTTTCCCCTGCTTCTCCTGCCTCTCCAGGGCTGGCTGTTTGTGGTCACCTTTCAACACCAGATTCCCAACGGCTGCCCAGGCTGCACCCCTGGCTGGCCGGGAAAACTGAGGCTTGTCCACCACCAGGCCTGGGGAGGCATGACAGACAGTCCTGGTATGCCGGAAGCACTGGGCAGCCTTGGCAGAAGCCCTTGTTATGCCCATTACAGGTGAGGAAACTGAGGATCCAGTAGGGTTCGAACCCTCTGGAACTCACTGTATTGGCACAATCTTCTTTGAAAAATGTGGAGCTATTGGGCGGGTCGAATGGCTCAATTGGTTAAGAGCGTGAGCTCTGAGCAACAGGGTTGCTGGCTCTAGTCCCACATGTGCCCAAGCTGAGCTGGTGAGAGCGTGTACTCTTAGCAGCAAGGTTGCAGGTTCGACTCCCGCATGGGATGGTGGGCTGTGACCATCCCCCACCCTCACCCACCCTGCCCCCTGGTGCTGCATCTAGATTGAAAGTGGGACTGGACTTAGAGCTCAGCTTACACCCTCCACAACTAAGATTGAAGGACAACAACTTTACTTGGAGTTGATGGGTCCTGGAAAAACACAATGTTCCCCTTCTCCAATTCCCCAACACTGTTCCCCTCCCCAATTCCCCAATTAAAAAAAAAAAGAAAAGAAAACGGTGGAGCTGAGTTTCTGGGCCATAGTCAGGAGGGCGATGGAGTGTTAACAGCTGACAGGAACAGAGACCAAAAGTGAGCTCAGTAATGCAGCCCTCACCTCTAACTAGACACAAGTATGGGCTTGACTGTCCGAGTCTGTCCCAGTATACCGCAGGTGCTCAGGAGATGGTAAATAAATGAACTAAATAAGATTCTGCCATTTGGAGCCTGGCAACGTTGGTCAGTGATTTAAGCTCCTCGGCCCTCTGTTTCCCCGTTTGTAAAACGAGGTCTCAGCCAGTTCCCACCCCACATGGCTGTGTGTGGTAAGGAGGAAATGACTGCAAACAGCAAGCGCTGCCTAACGGCGCGTCCAAAAATTCATCGCGAGGGCCCTGACCGCCGCTCCCACATCCTGTAGCTATCGATCCGTGCGTCCTGGCTGTCGGTGGATCTGGCGAGGGGCCTCCACCGGCCGACCGGAGGGTGGACCGGGTGGGCTCAGGAGTGAGGATGGGCGGGGCGGAGGGGGGTCAAGAGCTGGTAGAACAAGCCCCAGCCCAGCTTCTTTATCTCCGATAGCTCCGTGCCCAGGAAACTCGCCATGGAAACGCGCTCCGACTAGCGGCGGGCACCAGGGAGGGGGCAGAGACGCGGGGTAGGGACGTCAGAGACAGGGAGAGACCGGGAGAGACCGGGAAAGACGCAGAGAAAGCGGAAGATCCAGGAAATCAGACCCTCTCCCCTGCGCCCAGCACCGATGGGGCTCCGGAGGCCCATCCGGGAGAAGAGAAGACTGCAGACCCCGGCCCTAGCCCGCCCCCACGGGACACTGGGACCTCCGAAACTCAGAGACAGAGGAGGCGGGTGCCCGGGAGGCGGGGACCGCAGGCTGGGGGCCTGGCCAAAACACCGACGCAAGCGGCGCCCCCGACGCGCAGAGACAAAGAGCCCTCGCCCCTTGCGCCGCATCTAGGGCGCGGCGGGTGGGGGGTCTCGGGGCCGGCTGGGTCCCCTCCGCCTCCGCCTCCCCCTCCCCCTCCCATCTCCCCTCCGCCCCCGAGGGGGAGGGGCCGCGCTTTGTGCTCGGCGCCACAGCCCCGGCCGCCGCGGCCGCCAGCTCCACCCTTCAAGCGCCGGCGCGCCAGGTGAGGGGCCTGCGGGCGGAGGGCCTGGACCCCATCCTCCGCCGGCCCCCGATTCTTCTGTTCTCCCGGAGGCCTCCGCCCTGACGTGGGGGACGGCGGCGGCCCGGAGACCCCTAAGCCAGGCCGGGCCCGCCCTCTTTACTGAGCCCCTGCCGACCCCCATTCGGGGTGTGGGGGTGCCGCCAGCTGGATTGTTTGGCAGGGCCGCAGTGCTCAGGGGAGGCCTCGGGGACACCCCTCTCCCCTGGCCTCTGTTTCCCTAGGCGGTTCCTGCGCTTCGTTGCTTTCCCCTCCCCCGCCGTCGCCCAGCACCAGGTGCCCCCAGGACTCAGCTCCCCTCCTCCAACGCAGCTTTGTCCCCTCCAACCACAGCCTGTGGCGCCCGCGGCACCATGATCTCGACCAAGGAGAAGAATAAAAGCCCCAAGGACAGCATGACGCTTCTGCCCTGCTTCTACTTTGTGGAGGTGAGCGGGGGTTCACGCCGGTGGAAGCCGGCCAGAAGCCTGTTCCGCCGGCCCTGGGGCGCTCCACGCTAAGGGACAGGGGTGGGCACAGCTTGGGTGAACCTCGGTTGGGGCACTGCCGCGTGCCTGGAGGTGGTGGTCAGAGGAGTTGGGCTCTGCAGCACGAGTAGGAGTTTGAGGTGCAGCAGTGTTTTCTAGACTTCGGAAACAGCCTGGGCAAATGCTGGGAGGTGGGACCTTCAGTCCGGGTTTCAGGCTGGTAGCTCACCTGGAGGGGCTGGAGCACAGCATTGGAGGCCATAAAGGGGGTGCGCTTAATGAAGGGTGCAGTGTAGTCTTCCAGCTCTTGGGCTCTAAAGCCTGAGGGTCTGAGTTCAGATTCCTCCTGTGCTGATGGTGCAGGCTGGTACACTTCCTCTCACCTTTCTGATAGAACAGGTCAGGCACATAGTGACGACTTAATGAGTGTTTAAAAAATAAAAGAATAAATGCAACCACCTGGCACATAGAAAGTGCTGATGATGGTGCAGGGTGACCTTTATCCATCCTTAGACGTTGAGCATCGACTTTGGCCTCCCAGTATTTGAAATCTCCCCACTTGACATGCCAGCAGGCACTCAATAAAGGCTCCTTGGGCACAAGCCCAGTTCCTACAAACCAAACTTAGGCATTTCCCCTCTGAGAGTCCCCAGCCTGGTTTCCCTGCTCTGCCCCAGCCCTGACCATGGCTAGGGGTGTCTGTCCTGCCCTGTACCCTCTCCAGGGCTGGACGGACAGCTGAGGCCCTTCTTAAGGCGCAATACAAGGCTGGAGTTAAGATGGGAGCCTCTTGTGGGCTTCATCTGTGCCTCAGTTTTCTCACCTGTAAAATGGAGGTGGAGGCTTTCCGAGGCAGCCAGACCCCCTTAGATGCCCGCATACTCTCCAGCCCCCACAGTGCCACATTCCCTGTAAGTGTTAGAGCGTGAGACCCTTGGACCAAGAGGGGAGGCATAGGACACTGGAGGGGTTTGCTTTCATCCAAAAGATTCCACCAGAACCCGTGCTCAATGGCTGTTTGCAGCCCATGTGAATGAGTAAGTGACCTTCCTTGGGGGCACCACCCCTGTGATGTGGTCAAGAACAGCTCAGCTTTCCTAACCTCAGCCTCACCATCTATACCTCATGGGTGGCGTGAGCATGCAGGACCATCATGTGTGCTCCATGCCCAGCTCGTGGGGGGGACATGACCAGAGCATGTGGAAGACAGTTGCATGAACGAGTATCTCAACGAATGCATTCATTCATTCATTGAGCACCTCCAATGGGCCAGAAGCCCATGTTCTCGGGGCTGAGTGTCAGGTTGGCACATAGGGGTAAGAGGCCCAGAGGAAATAAAGCCATGCAAGGGCTGGAGAGGTGGGTGGCCAGGGAGGGTCTCTCTGAGGAGGGCTGGGGCACCAGAGTGATGTCTAAGGATGTCCATCCATCCCTGAGAAAAAAAGCCCAGGGGCAGGAACGTGTTTGCTGTTTCTGAGTTATTCAAGATGCAAGGGTGGCAGGAGGGAAGAAGTGGATGAATGAAGTGGGTGGGTGATGAATGGATGGATGGATGGATGGGTAGATGGGTGGATAGATGATGGAATGGGTGATAGGTGGATGGATGGACGAGTAGTTAAATGGATGGAAGGTTGGCTGATGAATGGATGGGTGAGTAGATGGGAAGAAGGAGGAAGCATGGGTGGATGATGGATGGATAAATCTGTGGACTGATGAATGAATTTATGGGTGCAAGAATAGCTATGATGGATGGATGGACTATAGATGCTACACAGATGGGTGGGTCACTGTATGATGGATGAGCTGATGAATGGATGAACTGCAGCATGGACAGGTGAATGGGTTTGTGTGTGAATCAGTGGATGGGGCTGAATTCATGGATGGAATGCTTAGTGACCAAGTGTGGGGTGACCCTGGCCAGCTGTCTCCATGCAGCTGCCCATTGTGGCGTCCTCCATCGTGTCCCTGTACTTCCTGGAGCTGACTGACCTCTTCAAGCCGGCCAAGGTGGGTTTCCAGTGTTATGACCGCACGCTGTCCATGCCTTACGTGGAGACCAATGAGGAGCTCATTCCACTGCTCATGCTACTCAGCTTGGCCTTTGCTGCCCCTGCGGCCTCGGTGAGTCCCAACGTCTAGGGGTCTGGGACGGCCTGTGAGCACCCCCGGCTTGGACCTGGCTGAGCACCTCCCTGTCGGCAGATCATGGTGGGCGAAGGAATGCTGTACTGTCTGCAGTCACGGCTGTGGGGACGCGGAGGGGGCCCGGGCAGGGCCGAGGGTAGCATCAACGCCGGTGGCTGCAACTTCAACTCCTTCCTGCGGCGCACTGTGCGCTTTGTGGGTGAGTTGCTGGACAGCACCCCAATCAATCCCATGCTAATTCCTGCCCTGGGGTGGGCGGCCGGGCTCCTGCACCGCCCTGACCCTTCCACCTGCAGGCGTCCACGTGTTTGGACTGTGTGCTACTGCCCTGGTGACCGACGTCATACAGCTGGCCACGGGCTACCATGCACCCTTCTTCTTGACGGTCTGCAAGCCCAACTATACGCTGCTGGGCACCTCATGCGATGCCAACCCCTACATCACACAGGACATCTGTTCCGGCCATGACACCCATGCCATCCTCTCTGCATGGTGAGCCAGCCCCAACCCCTGTCCCATTGAGTATGATGGGGAAACAGGCTCAGAGGGGTCTCAGGTATGGCAGGGCTCACCTGGACGCCTCTTACAGCAAGACCTTCCCGTCCCAGCATGCCACGCTGTCTGCCTTTGCTGCAGTCTACGTGTCGGTGAGTAGACTGCAGAGCCCCGGCCACGCCCCTGGGCATCCTGCCTTGCACCCACCCAACCCAACCCCACTCATCCACAAGGCCCTGCGCACTCCACCCAGGCCCCGCCTGCCCTTACCTAGTCCACCCAGCTCCCCAGCCACCCTGACCAGCCGCCCTGCTCCCAGATGTACTTCAACTCGGTCATCTCAGACACAACCAAGCTGCTCAAGCCCAGCCTGGTGTTCGCCTTTGCCATCGCCGCGGGTGTCTGTGGCCTCACCCAGATCACGCAGTACCGCAGCCATCCAGTTGATGTCTACGCTGGCTTCCTCATTGGCGCTGGCATTGCTGCCTACCTGGTGAGGGTCTGGAGCAGGGGCAGGCTGGCTCCCAAAAGGCAGGTTTGGTGGGGGCAGGTCTGAGGGGGAGGCATAGGCTCCAAGGCCTGGCCCTGCCCTGGGGGACTCTGACCAAAGTCTTGTCCCTTAGAATGCTGGAGTCAGAATCTCTTGGGCTCAGACTTGCCCAATGTGCACTGTGAGTGACCTGAGGTGGGAATTTGCCCTACTGGGAAGAAGGTGGATTTCCCCCTCAAACTTCCCCACTGAGGGCCAACCCTCCCCCCTATGCCAAGTCTGTGCCCAGTGGGGACCCTGATCTTCAACCGCCAGCCTCACAGCCAGCCGGGTCTCACCCCCAGGCCTGCCATGCTGTGGGCAACTTCCAGGCCCCGCCCACAGAGAAGCCGCCGGCCCCACCACCTGCCAAGGATGCGCTGCGTGCCCTGACCCAGCGGGGTCACGACTCAGTGTACCAGCAGAACAAGTCTGTGAGTACGGATGAGCTGGGCCCGCCGGGTCGGCCTGAGGGTGTGCCGCGGCCTGTGGCCCGCGAAAAGACCTCGCTGGGCAGCCTGAAGCGAGCCAGTGTGGACGTGGACCTGCTGGCCCCGCGCAGTCCCATGGGCAAGGAGAACATGGTGACCTTCAGTCACACACTGCCCCGCGTCAGCACGCCCTCACTTGATGACCCCGCCCGCCGCCACATGACCATCCACGTGCCGCTGGACGCTTCGCGCTCCAAGCAGCTCATCAGCGAGTGGAAGCAGAAATCGCTAGAGGGCCGCGGCCTGGGGCTGCCTGACGACGCCAGCTCGGGGCACCTGCGGGCGCCCACTGAGCCCATGACAGAGGAGGAGGAGGAGGAGGAGGAGGAAGATGAGGAGGAGGAGGAGGAAGAGGAGGAGGAGGAGGAGGAGGTGGAGGAGGGGGAGGAAGAGGGCCCAGCTCCACCCTCACTCTACCCCACAGTCCAGGCGCGGCCGGGGCTCGGGCCACGGGTTATTCTCCCCCCAAGGGCAGGGCCGCAGCCGCTGGTGCACATCCCTGAGGAGGGGGTGCAGGCGGCAGCCGGCCTGTCCCCCAAGAGCAGCACGGCGGTGAGGGCTAAGTGGCTCATGATGGCTGAGAAGAGCGGGGTGGCCGTGGCCACGGCCTCGACCCAGCCCCGCGTGGCCAACCCGCCCCGGCTGCTGCAGGTGATTGCCATGTCCAAGGGTGGGCCTGGCCCCAAAGCAGCCGAGACAGCCTCATCTTCCAGCGCCAGCTCTGACTCCTCGCAGTACAGGTCGCCTTCAGACCGTGACGCGGCCAGCATTGTCACCATCGACGCGCATGCGCCCCACCATCCTGTGGTCCACCTGTCAGCGGGTAATGGGCCCTGGGAGTGGAAGGCGGCAGGCGGCGGGGCCAAAGGGTCAGAGGGAGAGGGAGATTACGAGCTAGGGGACCTGGCTTGCGGCTTCCGTGGTGGGCCCAAGCCACTGGGTGTGTCCTCTGGCTCATCCGTCAGTGACATGGACCAGGAGCCTCGGTTTGGGGCGGTGGCCACAGTCAACCTGGCCACGGGGGAGGGTCTGCCCCCACTGGGTGTGGCTGACGGAGTGCTGGGGCCAGCCAGCCGCGAGTCCACGCTGCGTCGCAAGGCAGGTGGCCTGGTGCTGGGTGAGCGGGAGGTGGCGGGCCAGTCAGAGGCTGAGAGATACTACCGCAAAATGCAGGCGGCCCGCAGGTCCAAGGACTGACCGCCCAGGGCTCTGCAGGCCAGTGGGGGGGGGGGAAAGCATGGGGTACTAAGATGCTGGGAATGGGGGCGTTTCAAGACCAGACAATAAAAGGCTTATATCGGGAGTGCCGGCTGTAGTCATTCTGCTCTGAGAACCCACACTGGCCAGCCTGCAGTCCTAGTTCGCTCTGGGCTCAGGGGGACGGTTTGTCTGGGGGCCCAGGTTTTAACAGGTTACACGTCTGGGTACCAGACACGAAAGAATAATGTAAGGGGTCCCACAGTGCACCCAAAATAAGAATTATGAAAAGTTCAAACTGGGGCGGTTTGGGATTTGTAGCTCTTTGAAAGCTGCCCCACTTCAGACACAAGCACAGGCCCCTCTCCACGGAAGGCCACTGCTGGAGCAGGCAGTACCCCATGCACCTGAGCAGGGCCCACCCAAGCACCCCACCCCTTAAGTGGGAAGTGAGGGGAGAGAGATGTGTGAATTCTCAGAAGCAACAGCAGTGAAGACCAGCAGCTCATGAAGAGGAATGGAGTGTGGGACAGTTTATTCAAAGTCCATACAGACTGGCCCCTGCCTTCTACATCACCAATAGAAGGACGCCTTTGGGAAAGGCCACTGTTGTAAAATTGCTTTAATTCTGTTCTCCGCATTACAAGTCATTACAAGCCTTTGGGCGGGCAGTGGAATGTGCCGTGCTGTTACAATACTGAGCCTGTAAATTGCTGGTATCAAAATATACATCTGTCACCATAAAAAACGGCGTTTGCTGCCCCTCATGTCTTACAACAGGTATAAAAAATTATAAATATTTACACCCTTGTCCCACCCCAACATGGAAACTCAGGGGTCCAAGCCCCAAGGGAGGGGCCGGCCAGCATGGGGTCTACGCACAGGGGAGCCCCTTGGAGCAGGGAGTGCAGGACGTGAGGGAAAGGAGACAGTTAAGACTCAAGGGCCACTGTCTCACCTTTTGGGAGTTCCAGCATTAGAGGCAAAGAACAGAAACAAAACTTTGGTCCAAAATCTGCAGAAAATTAAACCCTGAAAGCTTAAGAGAGCTTGTCCTCTGAGACAGAGGGCAGGCAGGCTAGGTGTAAGGCATCTGGAGGTCTCAGATGGAGGCCTGGGGCTTCTAGAAGGACCCGAGCTCCCCAGCCCCACCCATGGCATCTGCCCTGGGAACTAGGTCCTGCCCTGCAACTTCATTACAAGGAATAAAATAAAAAGTACAGTATACAAAGTCATACGAGGAAGAAATTTAGATTACACTCATACCATTTTTATCTTGCTATATAAAAAGTTACTTAAAACTATTTCTCTTGCATATAAATGAAAGATTAGGATATTTGGTCAACTGGAGATATTGCTAGGCACAGGTGTGCACAATGCATCAAAGCACAACAGCATGACGAGCTCCAAGCCAAAAGCGCCAGGGTGGGGAGGATCACACGCTTGATTAGATGAGGGTTGGGGTGTGGGCAGCCCTGCACAGTGGCCTCCTGCCACACTAGGCACATGATCTCTGCAGGAGACTGTCCCCTCAGCCCCCAAACCCCTATGCGTTTGCTACCACAAGGCCCTGCAAGAGCAACGGGTTTAAGGCACAAGAACGCCAAGTGGAGGTTTGGGAGTGCCCACCCGCAGGCTGCAGAAGGCACAGGCAAGGGGTATGGGGAGCGGGCACTGTCCACAGCCACCAAAAGCCTGCAGCCAGCACCCCATCTCCCCAAGGTGAGCAAGGTAAATTCAATTTAATTTTTTTAAAAACAGGTAAACTGATTTCTCTTTAAAAAAATAAAATCTCTGATCTTTTAAGGTCACTTCAGCTGCTTTTAAAGTGGCTTCTTGTGGAATGATGGAAGTTGTCGCCGGGGCGCCCAGCAGGCCAGTGCTGGCGGTGGGGCCTAGATGGTGGACTTGGAGAAGGACACCCTCAGGTGGTGGTTCTCGCCCAGGTCATGGTTGTGCAACTCGATGAGAGCCTGGATGGCCTCCTCCACCGAGCCCATCTGGATCAGTGCCATCTTGCGGTCCTTCCTGTAGAATGGGGACCGTGAGGGGAGGGAGGAGGGGAGAAGAGGAACAGGACGGCGTGGGGGGTGGGGGCGGGAGATGGGCTTGGAACTCACTGGAAGAACTTGAACCCTTTGACGATGCCACCGTTGCTGGAGAAGAGCATCTTGAGGTCATCCTCTGATATGGAGGGCCTGCGGGCAAAGCACAGCCCTGAGTCATCTACCCTCTGGGGAAGGCCAGGGCCATGGCCATTCCTGAGATGGCAGTTCTCAGAGGCCTGGGGACCTGGAAGCGGGGTATGAGAGAGTATGGTGAAGGTTCAGGAGAATCAGAGAATGCCCTGTCCCCATGTTGGGGCATTCAGGAAGTAGAGGCAGAGCCCCCCACCCCAGGTGGCACATACGGGATGTTGGACAGGTGCAGGGTAGCCGAGGGCGGGAAAATGTTCTGGAAGTTCTTGGAGCCTGGTTTCTTGAAGCGGTGCAGGGGTGAGTTCCCATAGTCCTTGGTCAGGCCCTGGTCCTCCTGGCCCTCACGGGGCAGCTGCACGTTCTGGTGCTTGGACAGTGTGATGCGCACCGGCTTTCCATGCAGTTTGTGCCCGTTCAGGTGGCTCATAGCTGCAAAGGGGAGCCCAGTGACCCCACTGGCAGGCATGGGCGTGGTCCCCCAAATCCTGCTCCACCCTATCCCCCCATCCCCCATCCCTCACCCCCTTACCCAGCTGGGCCTGGCTCCCATCTGCCATCTGCACCAGAGCATTCTCTTTCTTATTGAACAAAATCTTCACCCGCTGCACATCGCCATACACGCCTTCAAAAGCACAGGGACAGGGTGCTGAGCCTGGGCCCGCTGCCGCCTCCCCTCCAGCCCCCATGACCCACACCCCTGCACTGGCTCTTCCCAAAGCTTTGCTATTCTGCCTCTAAGAACCTGCCTCTAGTCACAAGGATGTTACCGGAGGACTACCTTCAGCAGAGAAGTCGTAAAATCCAGGAAAGGTCAATTGCAAAGAGCCATCACTTTACATGCTACCAACACGCTTAACTCTGCGAAAGCATGCAGGGCACTAAACCATGCGTGTCTGCGGATCCAAATAAATACGCAAACCAAAGGCAAACCGTACCGGGGCAGAACCGCAAACTCATAGTACAACTTAGGGCGTAAAAATAACCTCTATTACATGAAAACAAGGTAATAAAAGTGTGAATGATAACATACCGAAAAGAATAAAGAGGCTTTGGGGTGTGACTCTCTTTAGAGGACAGCAGAGCAAGGCAGCGAGGGACAGGGAAAGGGAGAGGTCAGGGGCGAGTTGCCATCGTCCACCGCGAGGAGGCAGCCCGCAGGCGTGCAGGTTGATGGATGATGAAGTTGTCAGGATGTTAATATTCAAGGGCAGGTTGGTTTCCGGAGAGCAGGGTTTGAGGGGGAATTTTGTTTTTATTTATTTATGGTTTTGTTTTGTTTCAAGCAACAACAGGAAGCAGAAGGACCGTGCAGTCAGTTGGCAAAGAAATTCCGGATCAGAAAAAAAATTGGGAGAGGGGAAGGGGAGAAAAGAAAAAAAGTAGCAAAAAACACAGGTCAGTAAATACATAAGAAAATCGGCAGTGTCCCCTCAGTCAGATCTACACACACACTAGTCACAGGGCCACCAGGAGCTGGCCGGGAAGCACTGGGTTGCACAGTGAGCAGGAGACGCGCACCCTGCCGGCCTTCTGGCTTGGGCCCAGAAGCGTCTCCTGCTGACCGCTGCGGGAGAGTCTAAAGGCTCACACAAGCATGAGGGGTGGAATCTGTTAGTGAGGCTTCTAGAGCGTCTAACTCAGACAGGCGCCGGCCGCCCCAGGCAAGAAGTCACAGGAGTGGTCAGACAGGTGAGAGAGCAGCCCAGAGAAGTTGGCTGAGCTTAAATCTCATCTTGAAGAGTTAAATGTTTGAGCCTTGAGGACCTCACCCAAACTCTCTCCGAGCAAACTCAGCCCTGAGACAAGGCAGGTGGGCCATCCCGGGGACAGTGGCTCCGGGTGGCAGGAGCAGCGTGAAGGCCAGGTCCTCCAGAGCAGAGGTGCCTGGAGACCTCCTCAGACAGAGGCTTGTTTGGCTCAATGTAGTACAAATGCTTTCATGAACTCTGGATGCTAAAGGGACAGAACTCCCAGCGCGGTGGGAGGATACAGGAGCGCAGTGTGGGGCTGACAAGGATGGCCTGCAGTGCTAGGTGAACGGAAGCACTAACACCTGAGAGCACCAGTCCCCTTGCACCTCCAGGATGAACAGCCTAAGAGCCACGTACCTCAGGGTTGAGGTTGCTGACCAGCAGGACGGAATTGCCAGCGCCCCCCAGGCCTGGGATGGTGATCCGGCCAGCTGCAGCTGCAGCCGCCGCTGCCGACGGGATGGCCAGAGGGGCCAGGGCCCCATGCACGTTGGGGACAGAGAGGCCTGTGGAAGGAGAGGTGGTCATGAGATGAACAGCAATGCCAGAGCTCTGTCCAAAGGGGGCGCGTTCCTGCCAGTCCTCATGCAGGAAAATAGCGCAGGCCCAGCCTCCTCCTCCAGCTCAGGCTGCGCTGGGTCTGGACAGCCACATGCGCCCACAGCACAAAAGTCCCAGCTCTGGAGATGCGCAATCAGGCCCACGGCCTCGGCAGTGCGTACATGCAGGTGCCCGTCACCATGCAAACGACACGCCGGGCAGGACGCAGAAGGCTCATGACTGTCACACTGGTGGGCACGTGGCTCCTAGGAGGGACGCTCAGGTGTGCCTGCCCGGCTCATGCCACTCTGCTTACCAGGCAATTCAAATCCACCTACTAGGGACACAGCCCTCCAACCACGTGTGCACGCGTTCTCGCCCGGGAGGTGCTTGAAGGAACCAGACCAGAGACTGTGGGGGTCAGCGGGTTCTATACAGCCCTGTCCTACCACTGCCCTGTCCAGGCTCCTCAGGGGAGCCAGGCGCCCACACCCAGGAAGGTGGGCTCCCCCCGTGACTGCGCCCGTCAGCTCA